AAAAAAAAAAAAAAAAAAAAAAAAAAAAAAAAAAAAGAGTTTTGGGTTAAGATCTTTCGCCACAGAACATAAGAACCTTTGCTGAGACGTTCCCTTTGGAAGGGAGCTGAGCAGAAAAAAGTAATAGAGGAGATCGCTACATTTCTGCAGGTTTGCCCTTTAGCAGAGTGAAGCAGAAGCAACATCTTGGGCTGGAGGAAAGGGGCAGCAGAGCTCTGCAGGGAAGCCCTCTTCAGCTGTAATGGCTCTCTCCTGGAGAAGAGCAGGATTCCTACATCCTGCAGGGAGACCATCCCCCACCGCACCCCAGCTTCAGGTACAGCCGGACTTCCCAACAAGATAGGATACCTTTCCCTCCAGAGCTGTCCTTTTGCAACACTTCCTAATATCACCATACTGACCATTCAACCCATGAATCTTCGAGAGTCACACTCAGACCATATCCAAAGCATTCAACAATTGTTAGAAATAGATATAAAAAGTGGGACAACAGTCAGGTGGTATGCTGTAATCAGCGGCTCTCAGTAATCAACAGACAATTTAAGAGCTATCACCAAAATTTGTAGGGTATGAGTAAATATAACAAAGCAAACTATACATATGACTGGATGAATGAATGGATAAAAATATGCACATAATAAAATATACATGCATGCATAATTAATAGCTGGCTAGAATCACAGACACAAATGTAGGAAGAGAGAGACAACAGATGCTAGATAGGCACAAATAATAGGGATGGATAGGGATAGACAGTCAATGGATGGTTTAATAATAGGGATAAATGACAGATGAAAGGCATGAGATGGATGGAAAGACCCAGCTCTAACATTCCAAAAACAAATCAGTGGAGATGTCCACCGGGAACCTGAAAAGGAATGTTTCTTTTAAAGGCCCAAACCTTGACTTCCCTCGCCATTCTGACAGAAATAGTAACGGAAGCTGTGAGGGTAGATCAACTCACCAAGAAAAAGAAAAGGTGGCAGGAGAGGAAGAGGAGGAGGAGGAAGGGAGGGGAGGGGAGAGAACCTTGCAGTACATCTCCAGTTAACAAGAGGAAAACACCAGGACAGATGGACACAGCATTCAGAGGGTGTGTAGCAACACTGAAGTCAAAGGAAGCCGCCCCACTGTGTTCCTGAGTAGGCGGCTCTGATAATTGCTTTGAAAACCAGAGTATAAATAAAAGTCTGTGGGTGGTGACAGAACACCGCCCTTGTTTCCAGTTCAACTGAGTCTGTCTTGCCCTGCCCACCAGAGGTTTGGGGATCTGCTCAGTTCAGACTGGGTGACTCCCACCATTTCGTAAGTGGCTAGAACAGCCAGCAAGGCCTGCCTCCCACCCCTTTCCCCAATTCTCTTCATCGGCTCTCCATTTCAAACCCAGGCTGGGAGACGGCATCCTTTGTGGCCTCACGGCACACCTGACACCATCTTGTGGCACTCACATTTTGATAATGTGAACATGGACTTTGCTATAGCACAATTGCATCTCTAGATTCCTCTCTGGTGGTTGCCTTGCTCTGTTGGTTAACCAGGAGTCTCCGGGGGGATAAGGTAGGGAACCCAATTGTAGTACACATACCTCTTTGGCAGGACGTCTCCTCTCTGCCACAGCCCTATCACTGACAAGGAGGAACTGCAGGGCTGCATAAATAGTATTTAGCACTAGACAACGCTGACTTTTGGCCAGTGTCTTAGAGTTTTTATTGCTGTGAAGAGACACTATGACCATGGCAACATTTAATTGGGGTGGCTCACTTAGTTTCAGAGGTTCAGTCCATTATTGTCATGATGGGGAGCATGGTGGCCTGCAGACAGTCTTGGCGCTGGAGTAACCGAGAGTCCTACATTTTGCAGGCAACAGGAAGTTGACTGAGACACCGGATGATATCCTGAGCATAGGAAACCTCAAAGCCTGCCCCCACAGTGACACACTTCCTCCAACAAGCCCATACTCACTCCAACAAAGCCACACCTCCTAATAGTGCCACTCCCTATGAGATTATGCAGGCCAATCGCATTCAAACTACCACAGCCAGGAAAAACACATAAGATGGTAAACACATTAAAAAATAATCATGTTCTGTATGATGGCCATTATTCTTATCTTTCTGTAGATCAATTCCACCAATGACGACCTCTTTTGGGACAATTACTCATTCTATTAACAACTGGGCACACACTTTCATGCAAAGATGTAAACAAACATGTACACGGTTTTAAAAAATGCTTAAGAGACCAAATGTCCAGGTCCAGAAGCAGAACCCAAAGGCTTCCCACCATGGTCTCTGTGTACTCTTCCTGATCACATCTCTCCTTCCCCTGGAAACAACTGTGATAATCTTTGATGCTCCTAATCATTTTACACTTATGTATTTATCCTTAATACTGTAGTTTACAGAAAGTTCGAGAACTCACAAAACTACCCAGCACTAGAGAGGCAGAGGCAGGTGGATTTCTCTGAGTTTAAGACCAGCAGGCTCTACATAGTGAGTTCCAGGACAGTCAGAGTTACATAGTGAGAGCCTGTCTTAAACAAAAGAAAAACAAAAAAGGACTCTCAAAATTAGAGGGACCACACCGTGTCCATTCTTTGACCTGCTTTTTTCACCTGATGTTGTGATCTGTTATTGTACAGGCAGGTTTCTTTTTTACTGTATTGTATTTCACAGCACAGTCATAATTTGTCTGTTTGATTATTGATATGAGTCTGGTTTGGATAGTGGTTTTAGCTAGTCCAAATAATATTAAGAGCAACAGACTCTGAAATAGCTCAGTTGAAATAAGTACTGTCTTTGTGTTTAATGGATGGCATACACTCTTCAAAAGATTGCTTTATTGGTTCACAAACAGATTATTCTTGTCAAAAACTTGTTACTGAGGGATTTGTGTGTGTGTGTGTGTGTGTGTGTGTGTGTGTGTGTGTGTGTGTGTGTACTGGTATGTGTTTACATGCAGGTATGTGCATATGGAGCCCAAAGGAAAATCTCTCCTCAGACATGATTTTTGTTGTTCTTGTTTGCAGAAATAGGGTCTCTTACTAGCCTGTTTCATAACTCAGGCTATAATGTCTGGCCAGCAAGCCTTGGGTATCTTATCTATGTGTATCAAGCCTTGGGTATCTTATCTATGTGTCTCCACCTCTCAAGTGCACCATGCCTCACATTTTATCTTGAGTTCTGGGTATTGAACTCAGGTCCATTACAGAGACTTTTAAAGTGGTCTTTGGTCTGGCAGGTGCCTAATGGTACTGCACTGTCATTTTCAGTTCCCAGCTGTGGTTAGTAATGAGGATGTCGGTATTTGCATACATTGGTCATTCCCATTTCCTCACCACTGCTGCATCTGTTTAAGTCTTCTGCCCCTTTAAAAAGGAAGTTTTCTGCTTCCTATGGTTTGTAGGTGCATTGAATGGATCCTAGATATTATGAGCATGGAAAATTTTTGCATTTTGACTACATTTTTGATGTTTGGTTTGGGGTAGATGAATTTGTGGCTAAAAAAAATTCTTTTCAAGGCTGGAGCAATGTGTCTCAGCTGCTCTTCCAGAGGACCAGGGTTCAATATCCAGCAAGCACATGGCAGCTCACAACAGTCTGTATTTCCAGTCCCAGGGGATCTGACACCCTCCTGTCTTCCAAAGACACTGCATACATGTGGTACATAGACATACATGCAGGCAAAACATCCATACATGCAAAATAATAAATTTTTTTTTTTAAAATTTCCTTTTCAACCCCAAAATCACATTTTCTCATACAGGTCCACCATAGAATTTGGAATAATTAGTACTATTTACAGGCATAATTGAATTAGTGAAAGTCAAGAGGAACCTCCCAGTGGAACCATCTGGAATTTGTCTAGAAAGATTTTTATTTTTATTTTTTTAGTACAGATATGAATTGCTTACTAACACCAATACTCATCTCTCTGGGAATCTGTATACTTCTATAACCTTTACTTGCTTATAGTCAACTATTTAAAAGATTTTTTAACTTTCTTGTCATCTACAGAGCTAGCCTTCAGTACTGAAATTCCTGTTATTAACAGCTCTCATCAGATGTTTGTTGATTTTATTATTTTTTCAAAAAACTCAACTTGACCGTCTTTATTTCCATGCTTGAAGCAGTTACAGGTTAGTGAATTGGCTGCAGCCCTGCGGAAAGCAATGTTCTGGTTTGCCCTTTTCCACAGTGCGAGTGCTGCATTGCGGTCAGTTTCAAGCCACCAATGATTTTTCGGTTGTGGCGTTGAGAAGGGGTGCCCAGATGGCTCTCTGCACAAGGCTGGCTGTGGACACCATTGCTTTTGTTTCCCATTTCATTCGGGCCCGCTTTTGATGCACTTTTGTGGTACACACCCATACTTTCAGCCCTACGGACAGAATAGGCAAATCTTTAAAATATATTTCCATTTTCAACTTAACTCCTCCAAGGCTCTTTCATCTTTTTTGTAGCCATCATATTTACAAAACGCTATGTCTTTTTATAAAAAGACATTGATAAAGACTGACAATGATAACGTGAATTCATCCCTATTACAGTCCTTAGACTACTGGGGTACATGTCCCATATTTTGGCGGTACTTGACATCACACTGTCACCCTGAAAACTTGTACATGGCGAACGTGGTTAGGGTCTCACAGAGGCACCAAGTGTAGAGCTGTCAGCTGGAGCTCCTGAGGTGTGCGCTGACTCTCCTGGATTGCTCTAAGTCCGTGTTACACGTGGAATGCACACGGCTCTTGGACGGAACCAGAGCCCAGTTGGCAGACTGACCTGCATCCAAGGCTCTACTCGTCTTCGAGAACATTCTGATGAAAGACACGAGCTCATATATCAAACCCTCCTCTCAAAACATCCGAAGCAGGCCTTTTCATCCCTTAGGACGGTACAAGGAGCCTCCAAGCATGGCCAACCTTGGCTTCCTCTTCTCCGGGAGTCCGCGCTCTCACGCTAGCAGCCTCCTCCTTCTCCCCCTGCTCGGGGGAGATGGCGGGGTGCCAGCTCGGTCACCCTCGCCCACTCTCGGTCCCTCCTCAGCCAGCCAGCAAGCCACCGGGCAGAGGGCGGGGACAATTTCCGCCCACTCCGGCCGGAAATTACCCGCCGGGACGCAACCGGAAGTCCCGCCCTTCTGTGTTGTGAACGGCAGCCCGGAAGGGTCCGCCCGCGGCCGGCGCTGCGTCGGTGCGAGGTTTTCCTGGCGTTGTCCGTGGACTTGCTGGGCGACTCTGCAGCACGGGAACAAGCGAGCTCCGCGCCGCGGCTCTCCCACGTTGGCGGACCCTCGGTAGGCCCTCAGCGGCCTCAGCCTCAGGTTGTAGGCTAGTCGTGCGATCGCATGTCAGTCACGTCGTCCCCCGCGTGATCCCTGCAGGAATGGCAGCCCCGTCCATGAAGGAAAGGCAGGTGTGCTGGGGCGCGCGCGACCTGTACTGGCGGTGTCTCGACGACAACGCGGAGGACGCGGCTCGGTGCCAGCAGCTGAGGAGCTCGTTCGAGGCCAGCTGCCCCCAGCAGTGGGTAAGTCCCGGGGGGGGGGGGGGGCAACAAACCCGCCCCTGCACTCACCCCACCTCGGGGTAGCTGTGGAGGGACAAGGTCACGGGAGAGGTCATGCGTTGGAAATCACCAGTTAGTTGTTATGACTGGAGAAAATGACAGTGCACTGCCAGATTCCGGAGAAGGGCCAGTGTTGTGATGGCTTCCGAGGGAGTCCATAGCCTCTCACAGCCCCTTCGTTCAAGCTTCGTCATAATTCAGCAGTACGGCTCCTTCAATATCAGTTTTCTTTCTTCACTTTGTCCCAGTCTCTGCCAACTCCTATAAAGTGCAAACTGAGAGGTGTGTCCAAAGACACGTGTGTGTATGAGAGGGCGGGGAGCAAGTGGAGCATCATGGGAATGTGTTCTGAGGGAGACACTTGGTTTTATGCGCTGGGATTTTCATTCAGTCTTGGGAGCTCTGGCATTCAGTTTTATGCAAGGGGAGCCGTGCATCAGAGAGAAGAAACAGTTGTCCAAGATGAGCCAGCCCCTGTAGTGGAGAGGGGATTCGAACTTGGGTCCTTAAGTCTGTGTTAACTCTGCTGTACAGCAATCCCTTGAGAAAGATGTCTTGTGCTGTACAGTACAGGGCTAAGAGAACCAGGGCTCTGGGTATTCACAGCAGCTTCAGGAGGAGAAACACTCCAAGAGGAGCCGAGCTCTGGACAGGTTGTTGTCAACACCAAAATACTGCTTTCACTTCAAAGGGTAAGAGATAGTCTATTTTGTAGCCAAATATGAGTGACTGGCTCAGGAACACAGCTTGAAGTTTTCCCAAATACCATGTGGCAGAAGTTTCATAGTAACAGAACAAAGAAAGTCCTGAGTCAACACAACTTTAAAATACATGGGTGGAAACGTCAGGTAAGTTTGTCACAGCAACGCAGGGAAGTCTGCTGTGAGCCTCAGATGCTGCCCGATGACATTCTTAGCCTTTTGGTTGGCGGAGGCCAGTGGTTTCACCTGTCACCAGGGGGTTGGATCAGTCACAGAGGTGGGCCAGGAATTAAGAGGGCTAAAGATGGACCTGCAACATTCAAACCTCTCCATAGTCCCTCAGGTTCTGATCAGTCAGTCAGTCCTGTAGAAGGTTCAATGTAAGGTGTGCCCCCACCCTCAGGTTGGGCTGGAATGCCTAATGTACTTCTCAGTGTAATTGTATCTTAGGCAATTATAATTAATTTCCCACAAAATGTGAGGGACATCATATGCTTTTAAATCTGATATCCTTTATAGAACACCCATTCTAGTAGTCTGGCAATCAGGGCTGCCCCTCTCTGAAGGTACCTGGGATACTCTGGGCAGGAGTGTTACATTTCTTCCTGATGGAACTTTACGGAGCAAGTCTGTGTGTGCTGTGGTAGAGAACAGAGTTTCTCAATGAAGAAGAAAAGTATTCAGGCAGAGGGGTCCATTAAGACATGCACTGAAGGCTTGTAACAAAATCAGTGTTTTCTAGTCTACAGTGCAGATGCGAGGCCTCCTGCCTTTGCCCTGTCCTCAGAGCTGCTGGGGTCCAAGGTCGGGGGGCAGTGTCACAGCTAGCACGTGTGCATGTCCTTGGATTTGTTTTATACTTCTAGAATATTACCTTATCGAGATCGAAAGATTTTTCAAATGCCCCGTGAAGAGAGGATGGTGTGAATGGAAATCAAAGCAAGCCTCTAATAATTTGTGAATATTTAGCCGTGTGTCTGTCTCCCCAGATGTGTGTGTTTCTAAATACGACAGAGTTGACAAAAATGCCAGGGCTGATAAGTGACAAGATACACGGAACCTATAACCAGGCAGTCCGTAAAACTTAAGATTCCTGACCTGACCAAGAGCTGCCTGATGGGCTCCTGTGTGCATAAGACTGTTTCTTAAGTTCCCAGGACATTACACACTAACAGGCGTGAGGGGATAGACTCGGGCTCCTCAGGCAGCTGAGCAGCTCACTCACTAGATCCATGACTCAGGAGTCCAGAACACAAATCACAATCCCGCTTCGAATCCGCTGAGACCAAGGAGCATGTTACATTTAAATCTGTGCCTTTGCTTGCCAAACTGCAGAACTTACTTTAATGTCAGGCCTTTTTATCTCAACAGATAAAATATTTTGACAAAAGAAGAGACTACTTAAAATTCAAGGAAAAATTCGAAGCAGGAGATTTCCAGCCTTCACGGTCCACTGAAAATTCCTAGGCTCTGCCTGGACTTTCACACAGGTGGAAATGATTCTTCTGGACTTTCAGAAATGCTTTGCTGGTTCCAGGACAAAAGCAGTCTGACCCACAATTACACATCAGCACTTGTTCTCTGTGAATAACAATTACTAAAAGGATCAAGTAGAAGATCTCATCATTCAAACTGTGAAGGACTGAATGGTATTAAGTGTGCTGCTTTAATTTAGTGAAGCATCTATTTTAAGAAAAAAATTAAAGCTTATTATAAAAATGCATTGTTTATCTTCCTTTACCCCCTTTGGAATAAAAGCCGAATAGTAGGCAAATCTAGTTCCAACTGATATAAATAAAAACCAAGATAGGTTGTTACGAAGTTTCTGGCCATTAGATTAGCATTTTAATACAGAAACTACGCAGTGAGGTTGGAAGAAGCCTTAACTAATCAATGGGTTATAATAAAAAGTTGTCTGTTCAAATGTCCTCAATGATCAGGCAGCAACTGGGTTGCTACCTAGTTCAGTAAGTCAAAGAAGAAATAAATATATAGATTGGGAAGGGAAAACTGGGTCTATTTCATGATGATTAACAACACGCCTAAGGATAGACCCCCAAAGTGAACAGTAAGTCACAAACTTGGAGACAATACTTGCAAATCGCATAAGAACTGGTATCCAGAATAAAGAAAACAACAACAAACTCATGCTTCTTAATAAGAAAAATGATCCTGTTTAAAAAGTGGGCAAGTTATGCGAATAGATGTTGTTAAGCATTGCAGCTGGAATGGAAAGGGATCCTGGCTGTCAGAAGCCAAGGAATACCACAGTCCCCCTAAGAGGAGCAGCAGCGTACAGCCCTGCTCTAGGGAAGGGTTTCCCTAATGCAATAACTCTGCTCAGTTCCTCCAGAGTATAACTAGCTCAGCTAGAGGATGGTTTCTTCAGCGAAGGTGTTAACAGTTCTGCTCCACTCCTGCTCTGGGGAAAATTGTTACCTCCCTGCTCAGCTCCACTCTGGGGAAAGGTCTCACCCAAACCTCATCTAAGATTGGGAGGGAAGAATCCAGGAGGGTGGCTGCCTCTGGACTTCTTAGGGGTGGAGTTTTCCTAAGGTGGAGATTTTCAAGGTGGGAATTGGTTGTTTTCAGTCCTTGAGCTTGGACAAGTTCAGAGATTGGCTGGATTGGTTGGTTTTCCTGTTCAGGGATTGGTTGGGTTTTATGCTGAGTTGGTCAGGGCAGAGTGTGTTTCTTTGGCTCTGCTTTGAGGGCCAAGGTGTGTTTCTTACACTGGCCCCTTTTAACCTTTTGGCTCTGGTTTCAGGGCCAGTGAATTGTTCTGGTCTCAGAGTCAGGGTGTGTTTCTTTGGCTCTGGTTTCAGGGTCAGGGTGTGTTTCTTTTGCTGGCCCTTTTACCCTACAAATATTTCTCAAGATGCAATGGAAGACAGATATCTGAAAAGAGCCTCTATATCATTAAATATTAGAATAGCAGAAATTAATGCCACACTGATATGTCATTAGATACCTGGTTAGAATGGCTTAATTAGAAGGCTCACGATACCAAATGATGACAAGGATGCAGAGCAAGTCACTCTTGGTGATACTGTAAACTAGGAAAGCCAGAGTAAAACATGCCAACCTTATGTATGACCCAGAAGCCCCACTCCTGGGCACCTCACCAAATGAACTGAAAGCAAAGCCTGTAGTGTTCCTCAGTCACTAGATCCAAACGCCCATGTCAGGAATGGATGGAATATCAGCCATATGAGCACACACCTCCATCTGCCACCTGAAAGAAGCCTAAGTCTGATAGCGTTGGTTATCTCAGATCACAGAGTGACATCTGAATGAAGTGGGTGTGTGGAGATTTGGTTTCTATGCTTAATGCTTCCATGTTTCCCTGTTGCAAGCCAAAACTTCAAAAGAAAACTACAAAAGAACATGAATAGGCAAAGGACTCTGAAATTTGAGTATTAGTCAAAGGGTCCCAGGGATAACAAGTTCCTTGCTGGATGGTAATAAGGAAAACATTCAACAATGCAGTCATCTAAACACAGAGCACTCATGGGTTCCTTCTTGGTTTCAGCAGGACTTACAGGAGTGGTCTAACAGCACTGGGGTTGTGATTATAGTCCGGAGACAGATTTCTAACCACCATCGGAAGCACAATTGTATAGGACAAATTTCATTTAAGCCTAACCTGAACAATGATGGCTGAATTCATAGCTTTGGAAATAAAGCCTAGGACCTGAAGATAAAGAACTTGACTGGAGAGCTGATTCACATCTTGCCATGTTTTAAAACAGAAGGGCGCTCTTATATTTTTGGTTGTGAGCCTAGCCTTTAACGGCTGAGCCATCTCTCCAACCAAGGTTGGATAAAGCACAGGGACAAATAGCCAAACGAATAGAAACATGAACTATGAACCAAAGGCTGAGGGGCCCCCAAATGGATCAGGCCCTCTGAATAGGTGAGACAGTTGATTGGCTTGATCTGTTTGGGAGGCATCTAGGCAGTGGTACCAGGTCCTGGGCTCGTTGCATGAATTGGCTGTTTGAAACCTGGGACTTATGCAGGGACGCTTGGCTCAATCTGGGAGGAGGGGACTGAACCTGCCTGGACTGAGTCTATCAGGTCGATCTCAGTCCTCGGGGAGGCCTTGATCTGGAGGAGGTGGGAATGGAGGGTGGGCTGGGGGGAAGGGAAGGGGAGCAGGAAGGGAGAGAACAAGGGAATTTGTGGCCGTTATGTAGAACTGAATAGTATTGTAAAATAAAATAAAATAAAAAATAAAAAAAGGGAAAAAAGGTATTATCAAGAATACTTGGGCTGGAGAGATAGCTCAGAGGTTAAGAGCACTGACTGCTCTTCCAGAGGTCCTGAGTTCAATTCCCAGCACCCACATGGTGGCTCACAACCATCTGTAATGAGATCTGGCGCCCTCTTCTGTGTACATAATAAATAAATCTTAAAAAAAAAAAAAAAAAAGAATACTTGAAAAGAAACACAAACAAACAGAAGGGCATAGGTGCTCGTAAGTAACAACTTTAATTCTTCCATACTGTTAGCACATACTGGTTTCTAGGAAGAACATTTTAAAAATTCATTTTTAAAATTCCCATAGTTGCTTAAAATATTTTAAAAGGTAATTTGATTTAGCTAAAAGGGACAATATATAGTGATATACTTTAAGGCACATGAAAAAGTTTTGGCATTGAGGTGCAAGGTTAGAGAGATGTAGATAATCCCAGGACATCTCCGACTATTTCATTAGTCCAGAAGGTTATAAATAGACACCATCTTTAGCACCATTGGAGACAGCAGGTAAGGCTCGGCCTTCAGGATGCCAACTCCGCACATCTGAGCAGCTGCTGTCTGGTATACTCCCAGATCAGCAGAGCCCCGCTCACGTGCACGTTCAGTGAGCGGATGATGCCCTGCTGAGGAATCTCCACACACACATCCAGCTGCTGGATCAGGTTGGCTGGGATTCCTTCCCGCTCATTTCTGCAGAAGAAAAACGGAGCAAGACGTGAGCGTCCCTGTAATATAGGAAGTACCTTTTACTATTATTTTTTCAGAAATCCTGAATGTTGCTATAGGAGACAGATAAACAGAGTAAGTCAACTTGGGTTCCAGGAAGTAAAGAGGGGCGTTACAAAGACAGCCAATTAATTCTGTGTTTACTAGTCAACATCCCAGCCGGGTGAGATGAAGGGGTCCCATAAATGCCACAGGTTGACAGGGAGTTGCGTGACAGGAACCTAGGTAAGTCTTCAACAGCCTAGAAAACAGACACAGACCAGGGAATCGACTCACCCCAACAGCAGCAGCGACTTCTCAGGGAAGCGGTACTGGGCCAGGTCTGAGCTTTGCGCTGTCTGCTCCACACCAATGACCGTGTAGCCTTCCGCCTTTTTCTGCTGCAGATAATCCGTCAGCTGGGCTGGTCTCACCTTAGTGGCAGTTTTAGAAGAGCAGACTATGAAATCGTTGCATTGTGAAATCAGAGAGTGGATAGAGCATTAAACTTAAACCCAGCCTGTCAAGAGGACTTTCAAGGGGAAACAGGGCATCAAAGGACATCAGAAAGAATTCCCTCCACTTCACAGACTGCTGAGTGGTGGCTGAAGAGAGAGGTGACATGTTCTCCTGGGGGGACTGCTACACTACAGCAGGTCACAGATAAGACCCCCTTGGACCTCAGCACGGAAGGGTCAGACTGAGAAACTGGCACAAAGACAGCATGTCAAAACACTTTCACAACTACAGAATTTAATGAGCGACTTTACACCCACCTCTACCAGAGGAAGCCACTGCTCTGCGGAGACGCTGAGGTGCTGGAACTGTCTGTCACCGACACACTGGAGACTGCCAACCACAAGTACTGCGGCTCCGAACACCTCACAGGTCCGGCACAGCCCTGCACAGAATGGCTTCTTACTAAGACTGTCTCCAGCAGATCACGGAGTTCATAGCATCCCAGCCTTTCCTCTGAAGCTTGCCAAGAGGGCTATGTGTGGAACACACACAGACAGCCACAGAGGGTTGATAATCAGGTCTCAAGTGAACTACCTGGAAGATGATTTTACCTCCTAAGTTGGTGGGCTTGTCGATGAGCGAGGCCACAACAATCAGTCTACTGATGGACTTCCCAAGCTTGGCGGCCCGATCCTGAAGCGTAAGTTCCAGGTCTGACTCCAGAGCCTTGTGTCCCCATGGGATAATCTTTTTCTGGACATCAGCCCACTCTGATTGGCTGTCTGCTTCACCCAAGGTATAACCTGAGAAGAAATAAGAGTTCGTGTATGTAAACAGGGTCAATTCTCTATGTATTTGCATCTTTAGATGATTTTTTAAATATTCTTTTTGTTGTTGTTAATGTGTATATATGGCCTGAGTGTATGTATGTGCAGGTACATGGAAGTGCCCATGAAGACCAGAAGAGGGCATTGACTGAGAGTGGAGCCAGCAGTCTGCTCAATATCAAGTGCTCACAAAGGTCTCTCCTCCCTTGGTGCTCTCCCTACGAGGCTGGATCTCCTGGGTTTTTGCTGCCTGCCACTGTCTGCCACATCTGTGTGCAGCCATCTGCTGTTAAGAACACAGCTGTGGGAGGGCGGGGACCCGTCTCTGTCAAACACAATGGATCCTCATGGAATGGATGAGTAGATTCAAGATGATCTGTCCAGAGATGCACCAGTGAACCACTCCACCTTTTCCCAAAACTCTACCCAGAGACACTGAATTAAAACCACAGGGTGAGCTAGAGTTA